GCATTTTCAGACTTCCAGAAATTCTTTCTCAGTTTCTGTTTTGAATGTTGAGAAAGGTAAAGCTTCCTATGCGAGACTTACTTTTGAAATTTTGCCGATGTTTACTGCATATGGAAAGCCACAGGAATGTAAAAGTGAACTTACTAACGCAGGCCTGCAATACTATCCAAGCATGATGCTCTACTCTGTACGCTGAGTGATTTCACTTGGACATAGTAGCTCAAACCAGCACTGGCTCATGGATTTTGAAATGGGAAGAATCGCTTCGATCAGCTCATCTCCCTCCTGAGTTAGAGACAACTAGATCGTACATAAGCACCCCGTCATGACTGAGCGGCCTATGCAGCCATCCTTATGCAAAAGCTTTGACAATGTGAAGATGCAATACAAAATTTAAATGCTGTCCATTGGCAAAAAGAGTTAGCTGCAATTACAGATGGTTACAGGAACATTCACTCTGGATCTGTGCACCACCGATTCTCCTGGTAGTACAAACTCGGTCTGGCTCAGGCAGGGCAGGCAGCTGCACTTCTGTCCCACACAACCAAGAACGTATGCTGCTGTGGGAGGAAAGGTATCACAGTCAGTAAAAAGCTCATCAGCATAAAATTAACTCATATAAACTGTCGGGAGGAATTTGAACCAGTGGAGTGAGTTTATACCAGATCAGCACTCTGCCATAACTCTTCTGACCTGGAACTATCTTAAAACCGAGTCCAGTGTATTATCAATACATGGCTTCAGTCATCCATTTATAAATAATGGTACTTTTATCAGATATTGCGCAGAAGAATTTCATAGGTTATGAGATTGTGCAGAAGAATTTCATAGGTTATGAGATGCTTTGATATTTTGGAAACTTTGGACATAAACATATTTTGCATAAATCCTGCCATCAATTCCATCTCACAGCTGTTACCTGATGAAGAAAAATGTACTTTGGGCTACCACTCAAGAGCTGCAAATTTTCTGCAGTTACCTATGTAGCTCATACAAAGTAAGCAGCAGAACGCGTTAGCATGGGATGCAGTGGAGAGCAAGCTACCGTAATGGGCACGGCAGGAAATTAGCTTGCAATGAACTCTCTATGACCACAGCTAGTGGCAACTCTCATCAGGCCGGTTTATTTATCACTGTAGTATGCCCCAGTCAGACCTCACTTAGCTACTGCCCTGGCAGTATGAGAGGAAGAAAATGGTCATCAAGATTTATAATTTATCTTTAGAGATAACATTTTTACATAAAAGATGCATTTGTGTACCTAGGAGACAAAGCACCTTAAGGTACCTGTTTAGTTCAGCATGAAGAAGGAAGACGCTCCCTCCTAATTTAGGATGCTTCTTTGCAGCAAGAAGAATCAGGGGTCCTGCCTGCCCTTCCTCCCGGGCCAGGGACGTGGTGCTGCCCCCTTTCCAAGTATACCCTGAGTCGCTGCTATCTCAGGTCTTCCTAGATCTTCCTCTGCGAGTTCTGTGAGAAACCTCCCCCATGGCCACTGAGGAGAAACCCAATGTGAAGCAGTCCACCTTAAGGAGAGGAAAGTCTGAGGCCTGCGTTATTCATCCTAATCTTCCAAATACTGGTATCACCAAAAGATAGACAATGTTGTAGATTTGGAATAGATTTAGAAAGTATCGTCCATTCTGAAGATTCGGAGCAGGGCCAGAGGGCATCAGGGACAAGACAGCAGAAGCTAGTTTACCAGACACCTCTCTTGCCGCTCCGACCCAAGAAAGCCACTGTCGTCTAAGTAAGTGGTGTGACTACTGTACGTCGATTTGACGCGGTAAACGCACAACGCTGCCGCTCTCCTATCGTTCGTTATGAACACCGCTACGGATGAAGGCCAGGTCGTAGCTGGGAGGTTGAACAAAATAACATGAAGAGGAGCACCAAGGAACGGCACACGCTCTCTCGCCAGTCACAGGGGTGCGCACACGACGAAACCCTCCCGTGTGACTCCGCGCACCCCGCACCGGGAATCACGGCCACAGGCGCCACG